AAGAGTGTATATATATATTATATATATATATATATATATATATATATATATATATACATACACACACACACATATATAAACAAAAGGATGTAATACAAAATATATTGTATATTATGTTTTTTGCAGAAATAAAATTAAGTCACAAAGTATAAAATCTTAATGATCCTAATTATTTAATAAAAAATTTTTTTTATCATCATACAAATCATACAGGTTTAAAATCAACATGATGATGTGTAAATGATGATAGATTTGTTTATTTTTGGGTGAAATACTGTTATGAAGAGATTTAATATATTTTTTTAATTTCCTTTTTTTTTTTATAACTTTCATTTTTATTTTAAAGCTAAACAAAATATAAAAGACTTTTTGAAGAAATATGAAGCCATAGCACAACATGATTTAGTCTAGCAGGACATCTGCCTGGAACAACATCCTTTTGGACTTGAAACAACACTGATATCAATCAGAACTCACATTTAAAATCAGAAGGAAAGGATAGTTTGGTAAGACTTAAAAACTGCATGCCAAAAATGTTGTTCCAGTAATAACATGTCCTACTTGAGTAAATCACGATGCATATGAATGCACATAAATAAGATGCACTTTTTGCCCATTTTCTCAGTGTACCTGAAGCCGCTCTTGGTGAACTGCTGAACATAGTACTGCAGCACAGATTCGCTGAGAATAGCACTGCGGGGTGGATCATCCAGTGACCCCACAAACAATCCACCTGATAAACAAAAGAGCAGACAAGGAAAACAAAACGATAAGGCCAGTGCAGTCATGCAGTCTTTTGAGGCTCGGAGCACAAGCGGTTTGTACCGTTCTTCTCGAGTGTGACTCAAATCACACATGCATTCATTCCTCAATACATAACAATGAACTAAATCAGAAGCTGACTGCATAAAAGAAGCTATTTGAATTGCTGAAGCTAATGATGCTGCCAATCATTCTCTATTTTTCATCAAATAATGAAAAGCAGAAAAAATAAACTTTCTTACCTCTCTGGCAGACTCCTGCGGTGCTAGGAAATGATTTCTGCAGATTATAAGAAGATGTTTTAGGTGGTGGTCTAGTATTATTTATATACTATTATAGTATTTAATAATATTTTGAATTAGCTTTTTTATATTTTCAGTTTTCAATTTTCAATTTGTTTAAAATTGGTCATTTTTATTAAATTTTCATCTTTTCATCTTCAATTTTTATATTTCAGGTTTAGTTTTAGTAGTTTTAGTACTTCAACTTAAACAAAATTAAATAGAAATGTTGCCAATGGTGACTAAAATAAATAAATAAATACAAGAAAAATATATACAATTAAATATAACAATGAAACCTAATTACAAATATTAATAAATACTATAGTTTGTTTTATTTCATATTTTGAAGTAGCTTTATTTAATATTTTGAAGTAGCTTATATTTTTATATTTTCAGTTTTTATTTTAATTTTAGTTGAAGTTTACTAATGTTTGTTTTTTAATTAACTAATTTCTGTTTATCTTTAGAAATGTTGCCTTTGCAACTAACTGAAATAAAAAAAACTGAATAATGTAAAAATAAAAGCTAATTCAAAAATATTAATAATTACAACCATTTTAGTTTAAAAATGTATAAATATTATTTAATATTTTGAATTAGCTTTTATTTTTATACATTTAGTTCATATTTTAGTTTTAGTAATTGTATGTACTTTTATGTTTTATATTTAGTTTTTTAGTTCGGTTTACCTTTCATTTTTATTTCAGTTTCAGTTTAGTAATTCATCTTAAAAATGTGAAATTTTGCTTTGGCAACTAACTGAAAAAAAAAGTTTAAGTCGTCTAATATTTCTGCTTTATTTATTTCAATTTACAAAAATGCATTTGCTAATGTATTCTGTTTTTTAGCACATTACTATGTGATTTCTACTGTGTTTCTCTATGACAGTCTGGTTATTATATATAGCTCAGGTCAGATTTTTTCATACAGTCCTTCCTTTGTAATAAGAGACTACACGTCCTTTCCTTTTTAAAAGGTGCTGCTTAGTAAGGATGTGAATTACACCTCAAAAAATGTGCAGCTGGTTGGGGAAATCTGTGCTATTACTTTTCCAAGCGATCAGACTTACAATTTTCACCTGGCGGACCATAAAATTGGCTTAAAAAGTCCAAGAATCACATATAATGAGACCAGAATATCACAGAGACTAAAGATGATTAAGATGCAGGTAGCCACACGCTCATTAAGATGCAGCTTGTGGCTACCTGAGGCTGAGCGATGGCCTGCCGCTTGTGATTCATTAGTCCAGGATCAGAGTCCCGGATGGGAGCCCTTTAAGTGGCCCTCATTATGATGCCGGGTCATTCAGCACCAACCGCACGCCTCGCCTCTTTGATCTCCATCAGCGCTGGCTTTTTGATGCCGCAATGTAAGCAATGTAAATATCTAACAGATAACCATGTCACTTCAGATGAAGGGAGAATTATACTCATGCATAAGGTTCCTGCTCTGTCAAGATGTTTGCTAGTGCAACATGAATTATAACTACATTATTGAATGACTTTTTAAAATGCATGCATGATTATGATCTTGAGGAAATCTTGGTAATCTATTAACTTCATAAATACTCACAAGTGCCTTTTAAAGAATAATTTAACACATTAAAAATACTACTGACACAAAGCTATCATAATGCTTTAGAAAACATGAAATATAGTGCAAATGTCTTATATACCAAAACCCTTTTATGGTGTTTTTCCCATTCTGAGCTTGACAGAAAAGGTCAATATGAACTGTCATTGTATGAAAAAAAAAAAGAGCCGTTTCTTTCTCAGCTTTGCAACTCTAACTCTAATGAAATTCATTTAATGAATGTAAAATTAACCTCAGAAAACTTACAGTTTCATTACTTGCAATGAACATCAGTTTGAAGGTTCGCTCAAGGTTTTTCTCCAGTTCAGCCTCTGCAACACCCTGATACAACAGAAATAAATATTAAATAAATAAATAATAAAAATACAGCTGTTTATTGTTAGTTAGATGTTAGCTTAGGTCCATTAAATAATATTACCTGATAACATATACATATTTATAATTATTTTCTATTATTGTTGTTGTAATTATATTAACAAATAATATCTGATTTTAATCATGTAAAATGTTACCATATTACCAAAGTCTGGAGCCTTAAGTGGAACATTATTGTAAATTGTTACCCTATTAACATATTTAAATATATATACGAAATTCTAATGTTAATATAATATATATAAAACATTTAAATATTACAATTAATATAATACAAAATCATATATTATAATCAATGTATAATTAAAATATATAATACATAATATTAATTATTATCTAAATGCAGTGAAATATACATATCGCAGAACAGTGACAGACGAGACAGAGCAGGTTTCTTTTGGTATGAGACAAAGTGATTGTCATTTTTTAAAAGAAATTCCAACAATAAATACCATTTTGTCGCAGATCGCTGTAGCATCTCAGTTCAAGCGCATGTGAACTGATCATCTTTCCATATTTACTTCAAGCATGAAATAAACATGAATGAACATCAGAAGGTATCTTGTTTCAAATGCACACCATTTTTCAAGTTCAAGTCCACCGAGGTTAATCTACTCTCCTGTCTAGTTTGTTTGTCTGACAAAATGGCAGATTCGACCTTATGATTGGTCAGATCGCCTGTCAATCAAACTCCCAGTGAAGGGTCATTTAACATCATTCTAAAACCAAGTCAAGGCAGTCCTGAAGAAACTGTACTGGCCCAGTATCTGTTTGTCTCAATCCCATACACAGTCAAAAATTACAGATCACTTCCTCTAGCACAATGATTCGTGTTTCTCTCTGCCTTATTTACATGATTAGACCACCAACTGTAGCAAGTAATTAGAGGGTAATGACCTCTTTCACACCCACCCACCCGTTATACTGCCTGATGGGAAATAAACTCAACGCCACACACTAGTACTCACATAAGATTCTCATGCCTTACACGTCACATTGTTAAATTCTTAATTATGATTGGTTGCAAGGAGTTGCAAGGTGAATATATGTAAAATAAGTCAAATATATGACCAAAAGCATTTCATTTATAATAATTTAATTGCTTTAAACAGGACGAAATCTCACTACATGTCATTGACAAAGAACATGCTGAAAGAGACACCCATCATATACACTACCGGTCAAAAGTTTGGGATCAGAACGATTTTTAATGTTTTTTACAGACGTCTCTTATGCTCATCAAGGCTGCATTTATTTGATCAAAAATACAGGAAAAAATTTTATATTGTGAAATATTATTATGATGTAAAATAACGTTTTTCTATTTTAATATCCAGTCAAATCGAGTTTATTCCTGTAATGCAAAGCTGAATTTTCAGCATCATTACTCCAGTATTAAGTGTCACATGATCCTTCATTTTTTTGAAAGAAATTAAAACTTTTATTCAGCAAGGATGTGTTAAATTGTTAAGAAGTGATAGCAAAGATTTATATTGTTAGAAAAGATTTATATTTTGAATAAATGCTGTTCTTTTTAACATTTTATTCATCAAAGAATCCTGAAAAAAGTATCGCAGTTTCCCCCAAAAAATATTTGGCAGCAGAACTGCTGCTAGCATTGATAATTCTAATAATAAATCAGCATATTAGAATTATTTCTTAAGGATCATGTGACACTTTATACTGGAGTAATGGCTGATGGAAATTCAGCTTTGCATCATAGAAATAAATTATATTTTAAAGGAAATTATATTTTAAAGGATATTCAAATAGAAACCATTATTTTATATTGTAATAACATTTTGCAAGATTACTGTTTTTTTCTGTATTTTTGATCAAATAAATGCAGCCTTGATGAGCAGAAGAGACTTCATTAAAAAACATTACAAATCTTACTAATCCCAAACTTTTGAACGCCAGTGTATATCTGCTGAGTTGAAGCACGTTTATCTAGTCTGGTCAAGACTGGTCATAACAAATGCATATATTTTGGGACAAATGCACTTAAATGTTGCACCACTCTTGTATTTTACTCCACTTACCAAATGCAAATCATGTGTTATCTGCACTGCAGAATCTGCTGGTCTAACTGTGGACCAACTAAATATGGATGAACAGACTTTCAAAAACAATCCCTCATCCGTTTGAGGTCTCGACCTGTCAGTTCTGTTGCCACACATGGTTTTGTGATGCTTTTAAAGAATCCGGAAAATAATGTGCTACGCCACCTTAACACTTCTCTGTCTTCACACATTCATCCACGCAGGAGTACCAATGAGAATCACAACAGATAAAACATTTTTATCATACAATCTTTTGGCAAGTGATGTAGTATGTCCTGATAGCCTGAAAAAGGTCTGAAAAAACAAGAGCATTGTATTCTGATGAGATGGCTTAAAAAAGGGGAACTGCTCTAATTTTTTTCGATAGAATTTAGCTTCAGTACAGTGTGTCTGTTTAACACTTGGTACTATTTTGAGATGTGCAAAAGAGCAGAGAGAGATGGTTTGTCTGATAATGAACAACACTGAAAATGTCTCTACATTCAGACAAGGCTAAACCTAATTAATACAACCGCCAGGGTTAAAACATAATGTGTCCTGAAAACACATGCACCAGCATTTGACAATATGGTTACATTGGAGGACCATAAAGTAAAGATTCTGATTTAAATAAATAAAATGCTGAGTCATTCACTTTATTCAAAAGAATCGGATCATTCTTTCACGAATCACTGTTCATTTTGAATTCTTTCTAAATTCAGACTGCAAACTCATAACTCAGCTAAAATATAATTCCTTCTGCCACAGCGCTATAGATTTGGCACAAGAAACAGTATATTTTAGTTATTTGTTCTGTCTGCAATGCAAAAGCATGCAAATGCTCAAAAACTGCTAATGAAACATCATGGAAATCATTCGGTTGCAGTATTTCTTAAAGGGGTCATATGATGCGATTTCAATTTTTCCTTTCTCTTTGTAGTGTTACAAGCTCTTGGTGCATAAAGAAGATCTGTAAAGTTGCAAAGACTAAAGTCTCAAATCCAAAGAGATATTCTTTATAAAAGTTAAGAATCAGCCACGCCTACCTAAAACGGCTCGTTCCAACACACCCCCACATATCTACCTCACTATGTGGAAATATTAGCATAATGCCACCCAAATATGCACGCAAAGAAAGGCGGCGTGGTTTCAGGAACGCAGTAGTGTCGATGCAGCATGTCAGGGAGATGCTGTGTGTTTCAGTGCGAAAGCAAAAGCACTTTATTTGGCCTTCCGGAAGTAGATGCAATTAGGAATCATTGGTTAAGATTTATTTACAACAGAACAGCACAACCCAGATGTTCGAATTTGTGCAATGCATTTTACGGACGACAGTTTTTTGAACCTAGAAGATTATCGGCATCATCATTGTGTCTGTCACGCGACTCTGTTCCCCTTTCAGGCTTGAACTGATGGTAAAACTAACGCCATTATTAACTGTCTTGATATTTACTTTGAAAGCTTGAAGCTCGTGATTATGGTAAGGGGCGTTACATTTCCGATGCATGCTTGTGGTGTTCGGCCAATCACAATGCACTGGGTCAGCTGGCCAATCAGAGCAGACTGCGCTTGTCAAAGGAGGGGGCTTTGTTGAAAACTACGTGTTTGAGAGAGGCGGGGCATAGAGGACCTACAATAATGTACAGTATTTGAAAAATAATGTGTTTTTTGAACATTAAAGCATGTCAACATATTCTGTTACACCAAATACACAAAATAATGATCTTTAAAATAGCATCATATGACCCCTTTAAGGCAACCCCGTTAATAATAAGAAACTGTTCTTGAGTCCCAACACTAATTATATGTCTAACAAGATGGAGGCTAAAATATTAGCAATGCACCTTATGTTTTTCAATATTATGCAATATCATAAATCAGCCGTTCAGTAATCCTGTAATTATATGCATGTGTGAAAAGTAAAAAAACTGTACATACCATTTTATCCAAAAATGTCACCAGATCCTAAAAAGCCAAGAGAGGGATGACAAAATTGTATGCAACATTAATCAATTTGGCTATAAATTTACATGGATAAGTAAATTCACATGGATTAGTTTTAATTACCAGCATGAGTTGTTCTTGAGAATACTCCTCAATCTCTGCATAAAAAGGTGGGAATCAAACAGTGCTTATTCTATGCTCTGTATCCTTTCATATGGCAATAATAACAAGATTTTTCCAATTATATACAGTATATGTATCAGCTTTAATGCACATATCAAAATAACATCTCAAATGTGTTTGAAAATGTAGTATTAAAAAATGTATAGTTTAACTTACAATTTGCAACAAGTTTAAATACTCCATTTATTGTTTCCACAAAATCTGCAATTTTCTGTCATTGTTTGAATGCAGTACGCTCTTAAAAATAAAGGTGCTTCACGATGCCATAATATAACCTTTTTTGTCTAAATGGTTCCATAAAGAACATTTAACATCTGAAGAACCTTTCCGTTTCACAAAAGGTTCTTTGTTGGCGAAAGAAGGTTCTTCAGATTATAAAAAGGTTAGAAAGAGATGGTTCCTTAAAAAACCTTTGACTGAATGGTTCGTTGTGGAACCAAAAATGGTTCTTCTATGGCATCGCTGTAAAGAACCATTTAAGCACCTTTATTTTTAAGAGTGTAAAGCATCATGTAGCAGAAAACATCTGGCTCTTGTTTGCATATTCTTCTGTCACTGGTCATGATTCTAACCTTGAAAATAAAGATTAGGCTTAAAATAATGTCTTCAGAATCATTCATACATGTTAAAATCATTTGAAAATTGAACAAATAACTGTAATCTGACTCAGAGGAAGACAGAAATCATGTTTTTGTGGCAGTTTTTCTGCTGATTAAGGGATAATACAAAAATTCTTACAATAACTACCTTACAAATGGTTGTCAAAAGCAAAAATGCTACAATGCATCATATTTTGTGAGAAAGTGTGATATGCTAGAAGAAATCAGGCACTAATTTTGGAGTCAGCAGCCCAATATTCATAAGAAACAAGTATTGGCTTTCATTCAGCAAATTTGATGCAGGCGGTTTAATAATAATAATAATAATAATAATAAACAGCAGTTATAAAGCTTAATTAAAAGGTACTATATATTCGAGCATAAGGACATTTGATAAAACGTTTAATTAAAAAACCTTTAATGAAAAATGTCTTTAATTTTATTGCATTGTAATAATTTAAAGCAATAAGGCCTTGAGATCATGCTATATTGAAAATATATTCAAAATACAGCACAGCCTCTCAAAACCTATTGTTGAAAACATGCACTGTCACTCCACACACAGTTCTTTATGTAAACTTCAAATCCCATCACAGAAGTGACCTGATGCACATGCTAAAGAGCAGTGTTTCTCATTTTCATTCTCAGCATGATGCCACAGCGATCACAGGGGAACTGGAGTGCTAGAATCCCTTCGGGCATTTATTTCAGTTACCTGGAAATTCATGCTGCTTTTAAAGCTAAAGCATGACATTTGAGCAAGCAACGCACACACACGTTTAAAACAAACTCTCGGCAGCAGTTTTTTTAGGTCTCTCACTCATGCGTTGACTTGAGGATAATTCACAGATGTAATGGCTATTGAACAGGCTTTAATGCTATTGCAAACAAAGTCAAAGCATCCTGTTCTGCAAACTTATCAATAGTAATGAAAGTTACTGTTGGTCATCTTAAAAACGTAGCTGACGTCAAAGGAAAAAAAAAAGAAGCTGTTTTCAAAATATAACTAAAGGAACTATAAATGTTCCTTTAGTTGAAGTAACCTATTATACATAACTACTTGTGTTTATAAGGCAATACAATTTCCAGACGGAATTTCTTATATACTGTATCTTAAGTGTCCTTGATAACAGGATGCAATTAAAAAAACCTTTAACACGTTACCTTGACAACTTCCTGGGAAAGACCATGTATTTTTAATTTACAATGAGCAAAAATGAAGTATCCATCTAAAAAACAACATATGCACTGATTCTGTGGATTGCAATTAGTAGTTGTCATAGGTTAAGAATCTATTTTATGAAACACAACTAACGGGTTTTTATATTTCACTTTGGGCTTTTTAATCCCAGGTTAAGGCCATTTTTAACTAACACTGCTTTTAACAAGTGCAGTATTTAAAGTCATGTTGAAACACAAGTAGACAGATCTTTTCTGCCATATTGTGATGTACATCTGCGTATCACAAATGTACGGCCTGGACTTGGTTCTATGCATCAGTTGTCGATCAGATTTTAATATGTTGCCATTGCATTCAAAATTGGAGGCAGATGAACGCAAGCTTGCAGGGGTGAGTTTTAATGACTAAATGACTGGAGACGTCCTGCATATGTCACCAGAGAGAAGTCCTGACATTTTTGCTTAAAGGTCCAGTTATGACATTTTGATTAAACATTTTGAGGTATGTCAAAACATTTAAAAATGCAACATGCACAGATGAATTGTTCACAATAAGATCTATAGCATGCATAGATAGAGTAGAATATAGCTGGTGTGAACAGAATGCATTAACACTCAAGTCACAGAGTAAGTGACACCTTCTTGTGCTTTCACAACAATGCAAAAAGCCACTCGCCAAAACCTTCACCCTCTCTGTTCCTCTCTGGTGGAACGAGCTGCCAACATCCACCCGAACTGCTGAAACAATCACATCTTTCAAGAAGCAGCTGAAGACCTCTTTTGTAACCACCCCACAATCTCGAACCAAAGCACTTATACGCTCACAAAAAGTTATCCTCTTCTCTAGCTTGCTTCCTAATCTAGTTGTCAAACAAGCCTGGCATTGTATATTATGCATATTGTTGGCTTCTTGATGAAGTACGTTTGCTCCTCTTTGCTTTTGTTCCTCTTTAAATTAATCGCTTTTGGATAAAAGCATGTAAATGTAATGTAAAAGAAAAAACAATACTGTATATAATTATAACTGACCTGGTGGAGCAGTGGAGTCACCGTAACCTTTCATGTCAAGAGCTAGAACCCTGAATCCAGCATTGGCCAAAGCCGGAATCTGATGAGAAACAATAAACAAAAACAATAACACCTGAAGGACATAGTACCTGAGTGGCACTTGTGTTCTAAGTGGTTGCCAGGGCATTGCTATGCGGTTGCTAAGGTGTTCCGAGTGTTATTAATGCATTGCTACCAAGTTGATAGGATGTTAGGTTATTTCTTACTGACTCAAAGAAACCATCCCAAGGTCTCTATGATAGGTTTTGTTCAAACCCCTAATCCCAAGTGAGAGATATAATAATAATAAGCACTAAAGTGCCACAGAAGGGTGATTTAGAATGGTTAAAAAAAACTCTTGCATTACACTATGGCATCTTTTCACATTTCCAGGGATCTCAGACGCACAAGTCATCATAGTTGGGTAAACTTCACTACAATAAATAATTTTTTGCATTTCCATTTGCTCCAACAGCAAAAAAAACAAAACATTAACGTTTCTATGATTTTCCAAAAAAATAAAAAATATACAGAGATTGATTACGATGGTCAGAAGAGAAGAAGATGTGAAATTTGTCATCACATTAGAACACTCACTCAGCAGCATTAACCAATTTTCTGTAATTTAATACCAAAGTAATAAAACACAGAGTACAGAGTTATAAATATACATTAAATCTTTTAAAAATGAAACTACAAAAAAGTTGCTAGATTACAGAATATAACTCGTTGCGTCATCACAGTCTGTGAAAAGGGTCCATTCTTCTTTTCATTATCCAAAGCAACTTGCATTATTCCAATTCCCCTGGAGCCGTATTCAAAGGTATAATAGTGAAAGCTCATGAATCACCGCTTTTGGCGTTTAAACCCAACACCCGTGGGTTACCAGACCTGATCTTTAACCACTAAGCTATGAGACTCACAATAATCTCACTGCCTTCAAAGGCCTGTATTCCGGTTGCATCAGCTGAAAGATTTGAGGTTCCTCACCTGATACCTCCAGGAAAACCAACTCTCAGGGAAGCCATGGCACAGGAGAACAGGCGGTCCGTCTCCCAAGTCCACATAGTGGATCTTCACGCCAGGCTGAAAAACAGAGGAACACACTTTTTATAACCCTTGCTAAAAATAACACACTTCCAGTGAACTTTGGCACAATTAAAACAGAGATAAGCATTATAAATTACCTTAATATTCACATATCCATGAGAGACATTTTCAGGATCACAAGAGGGTGGCTGGAGATCACTGGTGACCTGTCAAGTTATCCATTAAAACCATTACATGAAAAAGGTAATTTGTTTTTTTCCCCACTGTAAATTATAAGATGACTTGTTCTTTTTAACTACCAAAAACTGTAAATTTAACAGTATTACAGTTACAGTTGTATTACCGTTATTATATATAATAAGGGAACCTGCTGTTAAGCAATTAACTGTTTTTTACTGCATTTTTGCAGTCTTTTACCATTATTTTTTTTTTACAGTGCATCAATGGAATTACGAATTCCAGTAATTCCTCACCTCTATTTCTGTAAGCTTCTGGATTTCCTTTAGAGCCTCAGTGATGTCCTTGACTTGAACAGCCGTCATTCCCAAACCTTCAGCTGCCTTGATACTTTCTTCATCCACATCCAGCCAGACTGCCTTAAACAAGCAAATTATAAGAGCATTTGGTTACATCCTTAACTAGCAGCTTTCGAATCCGCTCTTTCCAATTGGAGAGCTTCTGAAATTATTTACTGCTCTTACTTCTTGAGGTTTAAGCGCAAGTTTTTCAAGGGCACTGGTAAAGATGTCTGGCTCTGGGATTCTGACACCGGCATAGCAAGATCTCACAACCAGGTTGAAATGGCTTTCCAATACGGAGAGAATCCTAGCGACGCCGTCTCTCTGATCAGTGTCATCCACCCAGATATTGGCCAGGACGCAGGTAGAGATGCCTTAAAGGAAAAGTTCACCCAAAATGTGTATTTGCTGAGAATTTAGTCACCATCAGACCATCCCAGATCCCAGAAATGAGTTTGCTTCTTCACCGGAAAAAAAAATTGGAGAAATGTAGCATTACATCGCTTGCTCACCAATGGATCCTCTGCAGTGAATGGGTGCCGTCAAAACCAGAGTCCAAACAGCTGATAAAAACATCACAATAATCCACACCACTGCAGTCCATTAATTAATGTCTTGTGAAGCAAAAAGCTGCGTGTTTGTAAGAAACAAATCCATCAAGACGTTTTTAACTTCAAACTATTGCCTCTGGCTAAAATACGAGTCCTCTATCCATAACACTGCTTTCTCCAGTGAAAAACTAGCCTAGTCTGAATCAGGAGAGAAATATGCACAGATCAAGCACAGTTAAAAACAAATATGTTGATGGATTTTGATGTGAGAGGACAACAGGAGATGGAGTTTTTCACTGGAGGAAGGGTAATTATTATGGATAATGAAGTCACGGCTTTTCACTTCACAAGACATTAACTGATGGACTGGAGTGGTGTGGATTACTTGTGGATTATTGTGATATTTTTATTAGCTGTTTGGACTCTCATTCTGACGGCACCCATTCACTGCATGTGAATGAAGAAACAAACCCATCTACATCTTGGATGGCCTGAGGGTGAGTAAACTTTTAGCTCATTTTCATTTTTGGGTGAACTATTTCTTTAAGAGATAAATCAACAATTCAACAGAAAAGGATAAATGGTTTATTCAAAACCTCGCAAAACAAAAGCAACATACCGTGACGACGGAGGACAGCCGCAGCATCAAGAACCGGCTTGTAGAATTCTGCCTGCCCGATGTCACTGAAAAGCTTCTGAGCTGAGAATTGTGCAGGTAAAGAAAGTCCCAGATCAGCCGCAACCTTCTGACACTCCGCTTCAAACTCAGGAATCATCTGATATGTGAAACCAGTTATGCAAGAGTAAATATTTTTGTTGCACTAAAGCAGAATGCACGCATGCTGTCATGTCCTGTCATATGCATGAATACATTTATGAATGAATGAAAATAACCTGAGTTAGGGTGACTTTTCCTTTCTCCAAGCGATACAGTGCATTCTCACTGCCAATTTTTGCAATTACATTCTTTATGAAACCCCTAGAGCAAAACAGCATTGGTAATGAAATATAATATTAAATGAAAAAAAGCTAAGCATACAAATGATATATATATATATATTATTATTTTTATTTTAATAAAAAATATTTTATACTAAATAAATAAAACAAATAATAGTCACATACCTCGAAATACCAGTAGTTTCCTCAAACTTCTGAAACGTCTGGGCAAGATGGGGTGTAACAACAGCACCCCACAAACTAAACAGCACTGCCTTCTTCATTGGAAACTAGTTTTCTTTTCTTTTATTCAAAACTAACAAGTCTCTGGGCAAAAAGCAAACACAGGGCAGAAAACATTACACGACTTGTAAGTTACTTGCTTGCCACTTCTGCCAGGACAAATACACACAATGTTTACAGTACAAAGTTCATTGCGCAATGCTGTCATAAAGTTGAATTCGGAACTTTTATGTTTACCTGATGTGCGGATTCTGATTTCTGGACGCAGGAAGATCGCTGTACAGTTACCGCAGTGCAATTAGCAACTTGTAAACTACTGCTGTAAGGACCGGGTGTTACGAGATTTTCGGTTTCCGGAAAATCTCGTAACACCCGGCACTGCCAGAGTTTGAGTTTAAATACTACGAGTTCTACTATGACAGTAGGGCTGGGAATCGATTCCAAAAAGAATCGATTCTTTGATTCCGAGGCGTTGGGAATCGATTCCATCAAGAGGAATCGACTCCTCATCCAGTTCAACAAAGCTTATCTATGGGCGCCTCTCAAACGGAAGGCTGCACGAGGCTGGAAGAGCATAGATGAGTGGCCGAGAGCGCATCAGTTATTGTTAATGTTCTGGTTATTTTGTTTCAGTGTACAGCTTGTTAATTTTGTGCAAAGCATAGGTCTACAGTCAAAGTAAACTTCATCATTCAGCTGAACTGTGCACATTTATTAGACACTTCATGTCTTGCTCAATTCATGCGATTTCACGGGCAAAGCAGACACAGTTACATTTTGTGTATAGTCTTTTTTTTTTTTTTTTTTTTTTTTTACAAATAAAGCTTATTATGAGAAGGATACTTTCTACGACCTTTATCCTGCAGTCATGGTGAAATTATAGGTTCCTTCAATCTAAAAAAACAAGAATCCAAAACAACAGTGAGGAATCGATTCTTGGAATCGATTCCAGAACCAGGAATCGGAATCGAACGGCCCAGCTAATGAATATTAATCGCGTTATCGTCACGTTCACCAAATACTTAAAGGCAGACGACGGGCGTTTACGAATCCTGCGTGTCTCATTAGAAGCTCCAGGAATGTTGCCAAGCAACGTCAACGAGACCTATTTAATATATTCATAAGCCAAGCCTTCACTATAGTAGTTTAATTAAAGAGCTCAAAAGTCAAGAAAGTTATGTCAATCTCAAACTTTATAAAACGTTTGTGAATACTAGTTTTTTTTTTAAACATGCAATATGTCAAGTAAATATAAATGATTATTAAATAATATATTAAAGAAATATTAAACAATATATATATATATAAAATATTCAAATATGACAAAAAGACGTGTATTATAATGCACAAAACATTATTTAATAAGTCAATAATTAAATGTACCAACTATTATTGTTGTTTCATAATATGCATTGTGTTTAGAGAATCAAAACTAAAAAATCTGAAAATACTTTTTATTTACATTTAAATGTATTCATTTAGCAGACGCTTTTATCTAAAGCGACTTACAATTGGGGAATACATCGAGCGATTCTTCTTAAAGAGGCAAATAGACACAGAAAGTGCTTGTAATACCAAGTTTCAGGCATTGTTCAAATAAGTACAAGCTAGACTGAGGATTAAGTAAAGAGAAGCAAGAGTTTTTTGTTGTTGTTGTTGTTTTTTTATCATTCCACCAGCCAGGAACGGTGAATGAAAATGTTCTGGAAAGTGATTTTGTGCCTCTCTGTGATGGTACCACGAGGCGTCGCTAACTTGTAGATCCCAAGCTTCTGGAGGAGATGTAGATTCGTAGTAGTGAGTGGAAGTAGGCGGGTGCTGAGCCTGTGGCTGTTCTATACGCAATCACCAATGTCTTGAACTTGATGCGAGCCGCAACCGGGAGCCAGTGCAGGGAGATAAAGAGAGGTGTAACATGGGCTCTTTTGAGCTTGTTGAAGATCAGTCGTGCCGCTGCATTCTGAATCATTTGTAGAGGTTTGATTGTGCATGATGGAAGTCCAGCCTAGAAATGGCAAGGGCCTGGACAATACGTTGTGCAGCATGCTCCGTTAGGAAGGGCCTGATCTTTCTGATGTTGTGCAATGCAAACCTGCATTATCGAGCAGTTTTTGCAATGTGGACTTTGAACGCCAGCTGGTCATCAAAGATTACACCAAGATTTCTTATGAGGTAACTGTTGATGAACCTAGCTGGATGGTGAAATCATGCTGTAGAGTTGGAGTGGCGGGGAAGACAAGGAGCTCAGTCTTTGCTAGGTTGAGCTGTAGGTGATGTTCTTTCATCCATGCAGAGATGTCCACCAGGCAGCCTAAGATCCGTGCAGCTACCGTTGGATCATCTGGTTAAAATGAGAGATAGAGCTCTATCATCACTGTCATCAACTGTATCATCAGCATAGCAGTGGTAGTAGAAACCATGTGCCTGTATGTTTGGACCCAGTGATGTAGTGTATATGGAGAAGAGGAGGGGTCCCAGAACTGATCCCTGAGGAACCCCAGTGACCAGCTGATGTGCTTTGGATACCGCCCCTCCCCAAGCCACCCTGAAAGACCTACCAGTGAGATAGGATTCAAACCTGCGAAGTGGAATCCCTGTGATGCATAGTGATGAGAGAGTGGACATGAGGATCTTATGTTTCACAGTGTCAAAAGCGGCAGATAGATCCAGCAGATATATAAGAATTTTAGATTTATAATATTAATACTGAAGTATTATAAAAAAATTACATGTAGTACATAAGTTAAAATATATTATATTATATAAAATTCTATAATTAAATGTACCGATTTATTTTTCAGTATTTAAATTTATAGACAGCAATTATTATTTTATAACATGCATTTTCACACTAGTAATATGTCTAAACACTAGTAATATGCTTTAAAAAAATCATAACATCACAACAAAAATCATAACAAAAAAATCTAAATGTTTTTATATATAAGAATGTAATATTTTATAATATTATAAATAATAAAATATAATAGAAATACATTTATTATATGTAATGCATAACAAATTATTTACTGTAATAAGTCATTAATTCATTGCACCGATTTATTTTGCTATGTGATGAATTGAATTCAAAGTAGGCGGTGCTTTTCGCTGTTTGGCTAATCCTAAAACAAATTGTTTCATGTAAATCTTTATTTATTTATATTTAATAAAAAATAATAATTAAAGTTTTTAGTATTTGGTCCTTTATAGTACTAAACTGAAGACTTATTTCCCAATGTAAACCCCTCCCACTGATCCTCTATGGAGACGCACAGCATCACCATTGGCTCACAGTCCGTCAGAGCCGCTCAGTGAGTCTGATGCTGATCCAGAGCAGCACTATCATAACCACTGCATGATCAGCACATACAGCAATCATGACAGGCCGTTTCACACGCTTCTAGACTTTTGCGGATGGACATGGAGCAAAATCATTTCAAATTATTTTTGAAGAATCTGCCGCTGTTCTTCCTTTTTGTGGAACACGTTAAACCTGGTAAGTGCACATTTCTTTTTAATTAGTGAAATTATATTTTATGGAATGATTATTCAGTTCATTTGCGTGTTTCAAATCATATTTGTGAATGAAACACTTACAGTGTCATGCAAAGTGTAATCAAAATATTTTAGACGAAGTATTGAGTGTTAATGTCTTATTCTCTACATATAGCCTATCAGTGGATCAGGTACTTGAAATCCATATTAATAATATTTTAACCACGATTTTCCTTCAGAAAAATCTACGTGTATCATTTTTAATGTTATAGCCTATTAAGTCCACTGGCAATATTTTAAGCTAAAAATTCAGTGCTTATTCATATATACAGTGGGATCTAAAAGTCTCAAACCACATTGCATTAAAGCTCTTTAATTGGAGCATTCTTAAATCAAGTGGGCATTCTGAAATTACTATTCATTTTTAAATTCAACACAAAAGAGTAATTGAGAAACACGCTTTAAATGTAGTTCTGTTCCCTACATAGTGTTTATTTAACAAATATGCCTTGTATTACTAATAAAATTCTTATTTTTAATTAGAATTAAAAATTTGTTAAAAAATTTCAAACACTAAAACAAAAATGTATGGAATAATTGCAACAGCTTTTTCCCGTGGCGGAAACAAACTCCCATCTCACAATTCTGGCTTTTTTCTAGCAATTCTGAGAAAAAAAGGCAGAATTATAATTATAATAGCAAGGGGAAAAGTCATAATTTTAAAATTCAGGGTTGCGAGAAAAAAAAGTCGTACATTTTTATTTATAAATTAAATGTTTTATTTATTGTTATTTTTTTATTCCGTGGTGGAAACAAAAGAGGGTCTTCGCGTATCAAGTTTTGTCAGGACAATCATCCACAACCTCAAATAAGAGGACTCTACATAAAATAGCTTAGAGAACATGGAAGTTGAAAGAAAATAATTAGTGGCTGAAAACTGCTAAAACAACGTTTACTATGCCTAATATAAATGCAAATCTGAGCCAATAATAAAAACTGCATAAATTACTTAAGACTCCATGACTCTAAGACTGAAAAGCATATTGTGTATCATATTGTACAAGGTTTAACATTTATACAGACAAATCAAACTGTAGAAGATGTGTATGATTTAGTATCTTAATTGTCACTGAAAGTTGCAATGGCACGGAGTAAAATAAAGTTGCAAGATCAAGACCTGTCAGAAACTCTCTTATTTGTATGAATATCTTTGCAGCATTATCAGACGGTTGGATGCATGCACATGCAGAAGACAAACTCTTTAAAAAACTCTTCATCGGTTACAATAAGTGGTCCAGACCTGTGCGGAATATCAGCGATGTTGTTATTGTCAAATTTGGCCTCTCGATCGCCCAGCTTATTGATGTGGAAAGTTGATATTTTGCATGTTTTTGATGCTTGCCTTGAAAACATTACAAGAAAGAGTCCTGGGGCCTGTATCATAAAACAAGTTTACCAAATAAGCCAGGTTTATTTCAGTTAGTCTGACTTATTGATTTGGTTTAAAATAAGTCAGACTTACTGGAATAAACCTGGCTTATTTGGTAAACTTGTTTTATGAAACAGGCCCCAGGTTATAACTGAGTGGAAAACAATGCAAATTTTAAAAAAATAAAAATATCATGAGTGCATTCAATCAGAGAACTGAAGAATTGTAAATGCTAACATGATTTTTACATTTCTGATGAAAATATGAGTGGTGCTTCAGCTTCAGTCGCTTCTCCAGTGTAAGTCTGTGGGATTCATTCATCTACTAGACCAAATTTATATATTTTTCATGCTTATTTCTTGCTCTGATATTCTACAGGACGAGAAGAATCAAATGATGACAACAAATGTTTGGCTGAAACAGGTGACAGTCTTAATATTTAACTGTTTTAATTAATAATTAATCATTTATATTGTGGTCAAAGCTCAACTAATAGAATTCACGAACCCTTCAGATAATCATATAGTGAAAACAAATGCAATAATTATGTTCTATATATTATAAAAAGCCCATTAAACCTCAAGAGTAACTTCAGCAGCACTTACGTACACCAGTTTTATTCCTAACTACTGTATATTCTAAAGATTTTTACACAGGGTTTTGTTCATATATCATTTACCTGATTTTTTACAACATTATATATATATTTTTTCATTTGGCTATATATATATATATATATATATCCATATGTGACTGTTTGACCTCTGCAGGAATGGAACGATTATAAACTGCGCTGGAATCCATCTGAATTTGATAATGTGACATCTATTAGAGTCCCATCAGAGATGATTTGGGTTCCTGACATTGTTTTATACAATAAGTAAGTATTGAAGTAAAAGGTTGTAACACACACAACATATGCAGTAATATTTTGTCAAGGTGGTCCTGGCTATTTGGACATTAAAGGTTATGATTAAACTAACACAGTGTCCTGTTAAAATTATGGAAGAAAGAGGACGGTCCAAGTCCTAATGGCTCTATTAATATCTGCAGGCCGTAGATCTGACGCTCTGGTGTTTCTGTAATATTAATATGTGAAATCAACCAGACATGGCGTGAAATAAGATGTTAAGCACTGCTGTAGTTGATTAAAAAAAGGTGCATGTTTTAATCTCCTAATAAAATATCAAATGACTAGTCTATTTTCAGAAACATCAGGTCTGTTTTTATCTAGGAGGCATATTTGATCTCGACAAATGAGAAATTGAGGTCCTCTTGCATCATCAGATACCTGGAGCAAAAAACAAGTGCTGTAGATATTTGAAGTAATTAATGCAATTGTCATGGAACATCTTCCTAGAGGCATAAAGAAAGTTTGTAGCCCAGAAACATCAAAGACACTTCCTATAATTCATCCATATTTTACAGAAAGCATTTTTAAAAGGGTCATACTTTATGAGATCCAGTTAAAATGTTAGTAAGTCTATTTTCAGAAACATCAGGTCTGTTTTTATCTAGGAGGCATATTTGATCTCGACAAATGAGAAATTGAGGTCCTCTTGCATCATCAGATACCTGGAGCAAAAAACAAGTGCTGTAGATATTTGAAGTAATTAATGCAATTGTCATGGAACATCTTCCTAGAGGCATAAAGAAAGTTTGTAGCCCAGAAACATCAAAGACACTTCCTATAATTCATCCATAATTTACAGAAAGCATTTTTTAAAAGGGTCATACTTTATGAGATCCAGTTAAAATGTTAGTATTTTTTTTGTGCATTAAAAAAGACATAATTAAGTTTTTTATGGCCCTTAGAATTTTGGCTGCTATCCCCTTAAGACTTGCATCATTGCTTTTATTAAAAAACAAATAGAAGTATAACTGATTTTAACACTTAAATAATAACACTTTAATAATTAAAAAAAAGTTTATTTTCATTTAGTTTATTATCTATTAAGTTTAAATAATCATATTACAATGATATCTTAAGGATGGAATAATGGCTACTGAAAATTCAGCTTTGCCATCACAAGAATAAAGCTCATTTCAAATATATTTGGAGAAAAAAACAAAACAGTTATTTTAAATTCTAAAAATATTCCACAATATTGCTGTTTTTTTAATGATCAAATAAATGGCCATTTTCACCACATATGAAAACAATCCCTTAGTAAATTATAATTCAGATTTTAAAATGTTGCATTTATGACAAAGTTAAAATTCTAACATGCAATACAAGTCATAATTATGAGATAAAAATATTATTATTAAACAAAAGGGTGAAATTATGACAAAGTCATATTTATGGCATACTTAGTGAAAACTATGAAATAAAAAGTCATTCTTACTAGAAAAAGGTCAAAATTATGACATTAAAAAGCTGAAATTAGATTAGTCAAAATTATGATTTACTAAATCATAATTGAGATAAAAAGTCATAACGAGATAAAAAAGCAAATATGACATTAAAGTTTAAATGAGATAAAAAGTGAAAATTATGATATACTAAATCAATTATGAGATTAAAAAGTCAAAATTATGACATTAAAGTTTGAATAATTAGATAAAAATTCAAAATTATGATAAACTAATTCATAACGGAGGAAAAAAAAGTCATAATAATGAAAGTCTAAATTATGACATTAAAATTTCAATAATTAGATCATTAAATTATGTCAAAATTATCAAAAATGCAACCTTAGTGAGCATAAGAGACTTTTCAAAAACATTTAAAAAATCTTACAGAGCCCAAAATATTGAATGGTGCTGTAACCTCATGTGGTTGTCTACAGTGCGGATGGTGAGTTTGCGGTGACCCACATGACCAAAGCCCACCTGTTCCACACTGGAAAGGTGAGTTGGGTTCCTCCAGCCATCTACAAGAGCTCATGCAGCATTGACGTTACCTTCTTCCCGTTCGACCAACAAAACTGCAAGATGAAGTTCGGCTCCTGGACCTACGACAAGGCCAAGATTGATCTGGAGCAGATCGAGAGCACCGTGGACCTGAAGGACTACTGGGAGAGCGGCGAATGGGCCATCATCAATGCCGTGGGAACCTACAACACAAAGAAATACGACTGTTGTTATGAGATCTACCCGGACATCACCTACTTCTTCATCATCCGCCGTCTGCCTCTGTTCTACACCATCAACCTCATCATTCCCTGCTTGCTCATTTCTTGTTTGACTGTGCTGGTGTTCTACCTGCCATCAGACTGTGGAGAGAAGATCACGTTGTGTATTTCTGTCCTCCTTTCCCTCACCGTTTTCCTGTTGCTCATTACCGAAATCATTCCCTCGACGTCTCTGGTCATTCCACTGATTGGAGAGTACCTGCTCTTCACCATGATCTTTGTCACCCTCTCTATAGTCATTACTGTTTTTGTGCTTAACGTGCACCATCGTTCACCAAGCACCCATAAAATGCCCCGTTGGGTCCATTCGGTGTTCCTGGACCTCATTCCCCGCTGGCTCTTCATGAGACGCCCGGAACCCGATCAGAAACGCCACAATATGCCTAACCTCAGCACGTCCAAAAGCTGGCTTCAGCAGGAGACGGATGTGGATGGGCTGAACTGTCGGGACAAGGAGTTCGGGTTAGGGATGGGAATATCCACGTCCATCTCGTCCCCATCCGCCACGTCTCTGCATCTGTCCGACTTGGAGCCTTTGCTCCAGAAGTACGAGCTCCAGCAGTTAGGACATGTGGTGAACTTGTGTCAGTGTTCAGCAAATCTTACAAATCTCGTGTCAGACCCCAGTCTGACCTTCTCACCGTGTGTCCTACGAGCTCTGGACGGGGTGCGCTACATCGCTGATCACCTGCGTGCTGAGGACGAAGACTTCTCAGTGAGTGACGCAAACATTAAACGCATTGTTTAGGGATTAGAGAAGCCCAATTCCAATACACAAAAAAAGTATTATTGGTAAGCCATAATTATGACATTAAAAAGTTGTAATTATGCCACAAATTCAAAATTATGACAAAATTGTGACAAAAGTCATAATTATTAGATAAATCTATATTTTGCATAAAACAAATTAAGAGTAGTCAAAATTATAAGATAAATCAGATGGATGACATACTAAGTCATAATTATGAGATAAAAAGTGAATATGCAATAAAACAATCTAATTATGAGATACAAGTCAAAATTCTGACAAAAGGTTGAAATTCTGATATAGTTATATTTACAATATTAAAAAGTTCAAATTATGATATATTAAGTCAAAAATTAGGTAAAACGTACCTAGAGTGAGATAAAAATTCAACTATGAGATAAAGGCAAAACGCATGAAATTCTGACACTAAGTTGTGTCAAAATGCTGTTGTGTGAATACTGATGAGACTTGAAAGTCTAAATAATAAGCGAAATCATAACTATGAGATAAAATGTACTTCAATCATGACAACTCTCGGAACATTTTAGCATGGTAATGGATATGACAATGTTAATGCATTTGGTCTTGGCGGAACAGATCTGCTACGCTGCTGCTGAATTGCTGCTGCTGTTGGTTGTTGCTGTAGTTGTAGATTATTGCTGCTGCCCGATTGGTTGACCAGATAGCTTAAACTAGTGACCCGAATTAAATGTGTTTCTGGGCTAATGGAGCCCAGATAAATTAACTAGTGGCTTAACAATGTGAACCTGGGTGCTGTACCCTTAGGTTTATTTAACTAATGACCTAAATAACTATGCGTGTCTAAGCCAATAACTCAAACTTACCGAGGTAGAAACGCACACTATGTGTGTCATTAACAAACAGGAATCACACTGTCGGCTGATAGATGAAGTAACCCCCAGCAACACTCGGGCGGCCTGAGCAAATAGTTTTAAACTTGTCATTCAAGAGTTGTCTTTTTTTTTTTTTTCATTAACGTTCATCAACGTTACTGCAGTGGAAATACTTACCTTTAACTTATTAATAAGCTAACAAAATATTTGGCGAAGAAAATAACTGCACACCCTGTAGTTGTGGTGTCATATGCCCAGGACTAATTCTGCCTCAGAAGCAGCTGCTCATTTATTTTGATAATTTAAAATATTTATATTGCATATTAAGAACAATAATGTTTACATTGTATGAACACATCATTGCTAAATGCGTGGCTCATTCCAAGATGGCCTTTATTTAAATGCAGTTGTCTGCTTTTATATTAATTGTGTCTAAATTCAAATTTGCAACATAGAAATGCTGTGCATGCTGCTGAGAAAAATCTCAAGCAACTAAATAAAATGCCTACTTCACTTTAAAGAGTTACTTACCCCATGCGTTATCACTGAAATTTCAAGCAACTAAAGTACTTTCTGCTGCCGCTGCTATATTAGCAACAATCATTTGACTTCCTGCTGCTAATATTATTTCTAACATTGCATATGAAATTGCTATGCATGCTGCTGCTATTAAATTAGCTACATGCGACCTGAATACTATGCATACTGCTGCTACAGCTGCACAAAGGTACTTAGAATTGCTATAATAATAAACAAATAAATAAACGTTAAATAAACGAAATGCAAATGATGCCTACTCGCTTGAAGAGTTCACATACCATCCATTTTAAGTCACTGAAACTTCAGCAATTGTAAGTCGCTTTGGATAAAAGCATCTGCAAAATGAATAAATAAGAATGTACATGTAAACTACAGTCTACATACTGCTGCCACAACTAAATGCATAATTTGATTTGCTATGCATACTGCGATTAATAATTTGCTAATAACACAATCTGAAATTCTATGGATACTGCTGCTACACTCCGTAAAAGTACTAGAATTGCTATAGCTCATCCATGCATTATCACTGAAATTTCATGCATCTAAAGTACTTTCTGCTACCCTTGCTATATTAGCAATAATAATTGGTTGCTATGCAGACTGCTGCTAATATTATTTCTAACATGCATCTGAATTTGCCATGCCATTCTGCTGCTATTAAATTCGCAAAAAATTGCGATCTGAATAGCTATGCATACTGCTGCTACAGCTGCACGAAAGTACTTAGAATTACTATAAGCGTCTTTATTAAACAATGAAACGCAAACAAATAATGCCTATTTCGATTTGAAGGGTTCACAAAATCCCTGTACGCCCTGGTAAATAAACTAAGTTATAAAAGCCTATTTCAATTTAAAAGAGTTACTTACCCCATGTGTTATCACTGAAATTTCATGCAAGTTGCAACCAGATACTTCCTGCTGCCGCTGCTATAAACAACAGTAATAATTTGACTTGATTTGCTATGCATACTGCAATTAACAATTCGCTAATAACGTGATCTGAATTCTATAATACTGCTGCTACACTCCATGAAAGTACTATAATTGCTGTAAGCCCAACTGAATACACAAATAGTAAATTCCAGTTTAAGAGTGTCCTACTATTAACAACATTGTACATGGGCTACTGGTTGGAAAATATTTATTAGTAGTATATTTATATTTTAAACAAATGTATGATTAATTATCTTTAAACTATCACTAAACATGACTTTTATAATAAACTCTTCACTATCGCTGAACCAAGGTAACAAGTGAAATAGAGGTGTGGCCCCTTTAAGAAGGAGCGCTCCCTCTTCTGACTAAATGCATTGCAATGCGGCACGAGTACATGTATAAGCGGGTATATTATTTTCTGTTGCTCATTAAAATAGGTAAGGCTGTTGAAAGTATGACGTTTATGAAAGACAGTTATATGGGTTCACCTTGACTTAAAACTGTGAACAACTGTGAAACGCCACTGCGAACCAACCCCACTAGTGATGTGCATCTGAAAGCAATCCGTTCACGGTTAAAGGGGTCATATGATGCGATTTCAAGTTTTCCTTTCTCTTTGGAGTGTTACAAGCTGATTGTGCATAGATAAGATTCCTGAAGTTGCAAAGACTAAAGTCTCAAAACCAAAGAGATATTCTTTATAAAAGTTAAGAC